GGGCGCCGCCANGTTTGCGAGCATGCGCTCCAGGTCCNCGGGGGGATGCGGACCACCCGTTGCCGCTGCCCTCGCGGTCGTCGCGGAGGCCCGGGACCGGCTCTTGCGCCGCCTCGTCGGCGATGGCGACTTGCATCAGGCGCGCGTTTTCGCGGCGGAAGAGCGCGAGCAGGTTGCCGCGCACGGCGGCCGCGTGCCGGTCGCACCGCGACATGGCCTGACGCATGTGCTCAGCGCGGTCCGTCTCCGCGAGCGCGAGGCTGCGCTGGAGTGACTCCTCGCTCGGTATGATCTTGTCAACGGGCACGAAGATGGCTGGAGCGAGGGTGAGGAGAATCGGAATGGGCGGCTCGCCGGCGGCGGCAGCTGCTTCCAAGGGCGCGGTAGCTGGCGTAGTGGTGGTGGGCGGCTCAGAGGTATTGCTCATGATGACGTCCCCGTCAGAGGCGCGACGAGGAGGGGGAGGAGGAGCTCTGGCATCTTGTCTGCTTGCTGACGCTGCTTTAGAACCGGCGGCGGCGGCGGTGCCATACAAAAAGGAAAACGGCGCGCGAGGCACGCCTTTGGGTGAGGTTGGCGTGCCTGGCGGCGGCGGCATGGCGATCTCAGCGGCACCCGAAAAAAAAAGACTTGTAGAAAAAGATGAAGATGAAGAAGGTCGGCAGTCGCTTGACACGGGGGAAGGAATGATGAAGATGGTGAAAGGAGATTGAAGCAAGGATCAGGCTGGTGCGGCAACCCGTTTGTCTGCATGTGCATCCGGGTTGACAAGGCAGCAGCCCCCAACATGGGCGGCGTTTGCAGCGAGTGGGCTTTTTCCCGGATGGACTGGCGGCGCTTACAACTTGACCCAGAGTGTCATGGTTCTACAGAGCTCCAGGGGTGAGGGCGTGTATGCAAACCACTGGACAAGAGGGCTGCTATTAGACATCAGCTCTGAAAGGAAGATGCATGTAGTTGGAACGATAAGCCAAGACGGAACCGGAAGTGCAACACGGCAGGCCAGATGGAAGAGACGAGTAAAGCAATGTATATGTTTGGTGCCTATATACAGAAAGTGTTCTTCCAATGGTATCTAATACAAATAAAAACTCCAAGATCATGAAGATGTGCCGCTCTACCGACCTCTTGTTCGTACAAATATATAATCGCTAAATAAAGTGATGCAGCTCATGGTGTAGGTGCACACGGTGGCGTCTGGGCGTTGTGACACGCCATCATCGAAGCCGGTGGCAAAAATCCAGCACCGCATTTGTTGCATGTATTGAAATTTGTGTACCTAGCCATAGGTTGCCGTGCCATGTCCTGGAGCCGCAGTATCTTACGCCGGGCGCTGCATGCGCGCGTCCATCGACTCGGGGAAAGGCCCTGCTAGGGTGCGGCTATTTCTGTCAAACCGTGTAAAGAGCGGCCAACATTGGCCCCTCACCTCGTCGGGACAATATTTCGCACGTATTCTCGCACGAGAGTGAGTGCCGCGCGCACGAGGTCTTCCAGACGACGATCCTTTCGCTTCCGCATCCAGACCAAGATGAGGGACAGGATGACGCAGTCGATGAGCAGGTGTTTCATGACGGACCAGACGAGCCAGCCAAGCCATGACGGGAGGCTGCGCGCCTTCTTCGACTTCCACTCCCGGCCGGTGGAGATTTGCTCGCGCAGGGCAGCCACCTCGGCGGACAGCTTGGTGATGGCGCGTTCCATCTTGCGCTGCGACCGGCCGCTGCCGACGCTCACGTCGTGCCCCATCTCGCGGTCTTCTAGATCCATTTGCCGATGCGATCGCAGCTCGGCTTCGTCCTGTTCGCTCATTGGACTGAGTATCTTCAATGGGCCTTCGCTGCCGCTCATGGGCTGCGTGAAGCGTCGGGGCGCCGACGCAGCCTGTGGCGATGAATCGCTCGCGCTGGGACTGTTGTTTTTTATTTGGTTCCAGACAAACTCGAGTTCCGATACTAGCTCTCTTCCGTCTCTGTTGCCAAGCTCGGTTAGTCTCAACGTTTCAAAAGGGGGATCGTTTCGAGGTTTCGGCGGCAAGTCTTACGCTGTCGTAGCATATCGATGCATAGTCTCGATCAGAGCCTCGATGTAGCGTCGCTTTGCTTCCGTACGGCTAATTCCCTTTTGGCAGTTCCACGCATCCCACTTGTCGCGTTCCCGCTGCAGCTCCTCCGCGGTCAGGCCGGCACCGGCCATGGGCTGCTCCATGACGCCGTCCACGTCGCCTTCCATGGCCTGTTTGTAGAGCCCATATAGCCGGAGTCGTTCCGAGGGTGGCGGCCGCGACGCGCCCGTTTTGGGGATCTTCTTGACTGTGTTGAGGGCATGGACGAAGACTCGATCTGATTTTAATTGATTAGCCAGTTGAAATGCGCACGTCGCGAAGATGCAAAATGCCCCAGGCCAAGTTGACATACCTACAGAGTCCGCCATGATTACAGAAATATGTCAAATGCGATTCTCGAGAGATGATGACGCTATTAATTCAACGCGGTCGCGAGGGCTCGCCGTGCTGGCATCGACAGCCTATTTACCGGGACCTCGGACCAAGTGTGCCAATGGCGTCAGGACCCCGCTGAAGGAGACGGCACAAGGAGACGAAGGACGAGCGAGGCGAGAGGGTAGGTAGCAGGCCAGAGCAATGTAGGTAAAAATAAAAGCAAAGGAACAAGGCCGAGGTACGACGATAAAGGGATCGAAATCTGGGGAATTGTGATTGGAGAAGAAAGACAGAAACTCTGGTGTGAGGGAAAGCAAGCAAGCCCATGCAATGGTGCTGTACCTATGCTGGCTTGGCCTGCAGCATGAGAGCTCCAGTCGTAGCGCGTTGCCACCCGCCCCCAGAGCAATGATTGTCAGTTGTGCCTCGGCGAATCTGAGTTGCTCCGATGGCCTGCCCCGATAGCCCTCACACGCGACAAGCTCTCAAACTGACAATGTTACCAATTCCTCTAAATTATGTCGCTTGTTAGTTAAGTTTGCCTTGTTTATCTCGTTTCTTCTTTACCGATTCACTAGACCTATTTTTTTTTCATCGGAAGTATTTGCAGGACATGGCCAGTTCTTTCTGTTGGCCACATGCTGCCCGCAATAGCGATTCTCCGCCCCTGGTTTAGCGCATCGGCTCACAGAATTGCACTGAAAAGGCAACACTACGGCCGACCAGCGCTCTCACCATCTTTTTTTTTAAACACGTGAAACTCGACGCCGTAAACAGTGGTCGGCTCGTACTAACGCCTAGTCCTAAGCACTGAATTGATGTACTTATATGCTATTCCAACTGTATGGCTGAAGCGTAGCTCACAAAGTATAAATGAACATTGTAATAGTCTCCAATGGGAAAGGCGACAAGCAAATCGGTAAATTTGCTACTCCCAAAGGGTATTCGCACATATTACATCCTGCAATTGACCAGGCCCATGCTCGACCGCACCGCCTTTTGCTTCCACAAAAGTTTTCTTTTTGTCTTCGTACACCTTCAGCAGCTTTCTGTTTTGCAGAACCTCGGCAGCTGCTTTTTGGCCAGCCTCCCTGATGCTCAGGGCAGACCCCACGGCCAAAAGCTTGCCCGTCTCCCCCCAGCCATCCAGGTAGGCCGCAACAGTAAATAGCTCTTGGCCAAGGTGCCTATCTCTCTTATTCGACTCCATTTTCTCGTACCGAATAGTGATTCCTTTGACTGTAATCTTGGAGCTCAACTCCTCCTTTGGAGTCTTTTTCCGAGGCGTGATTTCCGTCCTTGTCGCCGGCGCCTCGCCCTGCTCTGCCCTCTGCACGTCTTCAATGACGGACCGGCCCCAGAGCGCTTTCAACCACTCGATCGAGGTCCGGATACCATGGTCTGGATCGGAGATGATGACTGCTGCGACATAAGCCTCAAACATGTCGCTCTGTGTTTTCAACAAATCTTTGTCCTTGGAGCTGCCTCTCCCAGGCTTCCTTTGATGGAGTACATCTGTTGGTAGTCTGGCCCGTGATTCCAAGCCATATTCTCGGAAATAGCCTGCCAGGGTCGTGTTTCGAACGAGCCTCTCTCGGATCTGGGAGCAACGGCCAGAGGGAAGCTGCAAGAATGTCTTGTCGATGAGAGCAGTTGCGATAAGTTCCAAATATGCGTCTCCTAGCCATTCCAGCCTTTCGTATTGCTTGTCGGGGCTGCTGCCGGGAACGAATCCGGGGTGTGTAAAGGCTAGCTTTTCAAGCGCTTTGTCTTTCACTGCTGGTAGTGGTGGCAGCTGTTGCGATATTTCACTCGAGCGCCAAGGTGTAACACAATCCATAGAAGGAATCTTTACATGAGGAGGTGGTGGAATTGAGATATCGGCAGCCTTCAGATGGGGATTTTGTGTCTGTGAAATCAGCTGCAGCGCTGGCGCGATGCTATGGCTAAGCCCAGCAAAATTTTGTCTCGCGGCCAACAGTGCCGCGTCTTGACCGTGCCTTTCATTGATGCTGTTGCGGCACTGTTTCAACTGCTGTAGAGAATAAATAATGTCATCAGCATTATCAGCCAATCTCTTCAGTGCCGTGAATTCTGCATCCGAGAGCTGAGCAGCTCTTGGATCCCGCGTTTGCTGTCTTTTGGCTGCTTGGTTCGACAGATCACTGTGGCTAACGCCGTGAGATGATAAAGGGCGTTTTGACATGTCTGGAGAGGCTTTTTCGGACAAATTCAGCGATGGCCTTAATCTTTGAAAACCCGGGCAGGTTTTTTGAAGGGAGCATGGTTGAAAGAGCAAGGCATATACACTGTCCAAGCTAAGAAGCTTAAAATGGATCGTGGTCTGGCCGCTAACCAATCAGGATCCACAACAGAGGAAAGCTGCACGTCTTTTGCGACCCGACAGACTTCATGGCATCATTCTGTCCCCTCCAGCAACGACATTTCTGCAACACACATACCATAATGAGTATCCCACGCGCACGGGTAGTAGACCTTATGAAGGTATGGGTCTTCCATCACGCCTCTAAGTCGCATATCGACTAATTGTTCCAGGCGCAATGCAAAGTCTTTGCGACGACATTTAACCCTGAAGGAACGCGACTGGGCAACAAAGTCCTGCGCCAACGTCTACGAGGCCCCGCGACGGCCGCCTACTACCCTCGGAAGATTGTCACAATCAAGGATGTCAAGGCTGAATTTGGTCCCGAGCTGGATACGTGGGATCCTGACGAGGAGGCCCGGTTCGAGTACATCGAAGAGTGGGTGTCCACGATCTCGAGGCTATACACACATACTAATGCCTTACGGCTAGACTCAAGGCGCGTGGGAAGAGTAATCCGAAGAAGAAGTCGGCACCGCCTGCTGCTAGTAAGTATCTCGGTGGACGAGACTCCTGTTTCCTTTACTGACCAGATCATAGTGCCAGTCAAAGGCAAGAAGAAATAAAGTGCGCCGACCGATTACGATTACCAGCGGACATAACGGACATACCACCGAATATATGTGAGATAACCAAAGTATGGCATAGCAGCCAAAGCCGAGCCACGCCGCTCGCGCCCAAGCAGTGACACCTGCTTGGAGTGATGTAATAATTACTGTACAAATACTATCGACCAAGGCTTCATACACTTGAATTGGCTAGAGATGAGAGGTTTGGGAAACGCGGAAGAAATAAACCATTCCTATTATACCCTATATTAGCGGTTGATTTTGTGTGGAGTGGAAACCGTCATTGTGTTGTGCAGTCGACTTTGCAAACGCGCTGGTGGGTTACTTGTGCTTTGATTAGGCACCGGCGGTAATCAAGGCTTGAATTATAGTCATCGACGACCAAGAGGTTTTGCCCGCTTCCCTGACTGAGTGTCAGGTGAATTAGGTTGCAGTGTTTGTATAGCAGCGGCTGCATTAGCGAATGCACCTCGCTTGCTCTAGCTGACGGCACCTGCCACGGCCGAGGCCGGCTGTTCTTTCGAGCCGCCTACCTACCTCAGGTATTAACTGGCAACCATTGCCCCTGGCGGATTTCTAGGTCCGTTTTGCATTTTCTTCCTCCTTGTGCCTTCAAGCCTTTCTTCTCTTGTTACCTCCCGGTACACCCATGCATGCAACCGTCTCGTTTTGCATTTTGTGTTCTTTTCTCGGCTGCGTGTCCATCATCATTTTTGCTCAACGATACTCGAAAGACTTGTTGTGAATTTCTCCCGGGTTGGATTTTGTGTTTACGTCCCCTTGGTGGCTTCTCATGTCTGCACCTGTCTCCAGCGGTTCGACACCCCAGCGGTCTCTTCCATCTTCTCTTGGCCCGTCGCCTCATGAAGCAGTTGGAACATCAAGCAATTCTCCGCTGTCTGGAAACAAGTTGGCAGCTGTAAGATGGCAAAATCCACTGTCTGTCACTTCTCCTGCCATGCTAACACGTCCTTTAGGATGGCTCTCGTTACCTGGCTGCCCCGAAAATAGTCAAGGCTCTCTCGACTTCTAAACTTGCCAACAACCTTGGAGCAAGAGTGAGTATTGAAACACTGACGAGTTTTCCGGACAAAACACAAAGTGCTAACGAAGGCATGACTAGATGACAGCGGAAGACGGTGGTGTCAAGGAATCGTACCCTATGGACAAACTACTAGCCAGGCTTTCCGAACAGCAAGCCACGCTGAACCATCAATCTGCTCAGCCCAAGGCCGCCGAGGTACTTTGTTCATCCTTTGCCGAGCACGAATCTTCCAGTAATTCACTGCCAATGACCCCTGCGACGGATGCCTTTCACACAACCGCCCCCACAACTCGCCCGGCCAGTGCAACTGTGGACGAGGCACGGCTCGATGTGAATGAAGTGCTTCGTCTCAAGCTGCAGCTTGCACAAGCCCAAAATCATATCTCTAAGCTTGACCAGGAACTTGCGCACTCACGAACCAGCGAACCCGATTCAACCACGTCGGGCTCAGCTGCTGGCAGACGATCGGCTCCAGCTTCCCGTGACAGCCCTTGGCCCCTCACCGAAGACTCGCACTCGGACACAAGCGACACCATGTCTGCATCTGCCTTCAGCCGGGCAAGAGGAATTTGGGGCCAACCGAAAGGTTATTTTGGCAGCAATACCCAACAATCGAACGCTGCGGACCCCTCACCTGCAAATTGGCTAGGAGGACGTGCAACGCAGCCTTTCCCCGACCCTGGTATTCCGTTTCCCGTCACCGATAGCTTCCGAGACCGTATGACTCAGGAAACCGATATGATGAGCCGCCCTGGACATCATCGACGTGCAACTCGTTACGACAGCCGGGGAGTGCCATCTGGATTTGTATCATCTCACGGTCCCAGTGGAAGCTATTTTGACGCGATGGGCTCTGCCATGAATGGCCCTGCTATAAATATGAGCCACCCGCAGGCCAGTTCTGGCATGTCGATGTATCCTCAATACCAGCAGGCAGCTGGCACAGCACTGTCTCCCCATGCCTCCGAGTTTACTTCAAAGGCTGCATGGAAGAACGAGGTATGCAGATCGCCAAAATCTCCCAAATGCATCACTAACATGCTTCAGATGGCTCTTTCGGAAGGACCTACGTATCTGCCGCCCACGGAGCCACTCAACTATCGTCGACTACTCGATCGGAATGTCAACTGCAACTAGAAGTACATCGTTGACAAGATTGTCTGCAATAACGATCAGCAAGCTTCCATTTTCTTACAGCAAAAGCTCAAAGTGGGCACACCTGAGCAGAAATACGAAATTGTCGAAGCCATCGTCGCTCAGGCATACCCGCTTATGGTTAACCGATTTGGAAATTTTCTAGTTCAGCGTTGTTTTGAGCATGGCACTCCAGAGCAGGTCATTAAAATTGCCGAAGCCATACGCGGCAAAACTCTCAGCCTCTCCATGGACCCCTTTGGCTGCCATGTGGTGCAGAAGGCTTTCGATTCGGTTCCTGAGAACTACAAAGCAATCATGGTCCATGAGCTGCTTCGCAGAATTCCCGAAACTGTCATTCATCGATATGCCTGTCATGTGTGGCAGAAGCTGTTTGAGCTACGGTGGACTGAATCTCCTCCCCAAATCATGACCTACGTCAACGAGGCTCTCCGTGGCATGTGGCATGAGGTTGCATTGGGCGAGACCGGAAGCTTGGTAGTCCAGAATATATTCGAAAACTGCCTCGAAGATGACAAGGTCAGTCAGAGATGTCCACCACAATACAATAGTGCTGTCACTAATAGAAAAATTAGCGCCCATGTATTGAGGAGGTGTTGGCAAACATCGACATCGTTGCCCATGGTCAGTTCGGAAACTGGTGCATTCAGCACGTATGCGAGCATGGCGGCCCTCCAGACCGAAGCCGAGCGATCGATCATGTAATCCGTTATGCATCCGAATATTCAACCGACCAATTCGCATCAAAAGTTGTGGAAAAGTGCCTTAAAATCGGTGGCACGGATTTCCTCGGTCGCTACCTGGATCGTGTGTGTGAAGGGCGCCGGGACCGGACTCGAATTCCTTTGATTGACATTGCTAGCGACCAGTACGGCAACTACTTGATCCAGTGGATTCTGAATAACGCCACTCCGCAGCACAGGGAGATGGTGGCGGCGCACATTCGAAAGCACATGGTGTCTCTTCGAGGCTCCAAGTTTGGCTCCCGAGTTGGAATGCTTTGCACCAACCATGCAGTGACGACGCGGCCAGGCCATGGGGGCGGACCAAGCATTCCAGGACGGTTGCCCGGCCCGAGATACGGCGCCAACTACAGATAATGAGAGCCGCTTATTTAATGGGTGTCGAGGCTAGCTATGCCGTGTCTAATGCAACTGGCAAATTGTCATGATATTGTTGACCCAGCGGGCGGATCAAGGACACCCTCATCTCGGGTACGGAAAAGCTTTGATGTCGAAATGCCCGAAGGATAAAATTTTGTCAATTTCTTCTTAACAATATTTTCCCACGAAGTTAGATTACAGATCAAACGTCATCCTATGCTCAGTAAGCTACAGCTTGGCTGGGTGCATTGGACACTTTATGGTTATGAATTTTGCAATATGGTGGGGAGACAGCTCACTGCATACCTGGCAGGTGCAGCAGTTATTTGGTGGTGGTCTTAGGTAGTGTCTATTGAGGTGAAGCAGCTATTGCTAGTCTGTCGGATGCGGAATATGCAGAAGTTGATAGAAATAGTGGCCCTTTTATTATCAATAGATATGAGAAGAAGGAGGAGGTGACGGTTTCGTTTAGCGTATCTTAGCAAATGCACCTTTGTATGACTATTATATATAACAGGCTGTTGTTTGAGTGCGAAGACAGATGCAAGTCATGATGGGTTCATGTACAGGCAACGACGTCGAGAAGAACAGACCGATGAGGCTGAAGATGATGAATGTTAAACGGCCTCTGGTTCAGGTTGCTCAGAAAGCGTATCAACTGGTGGAAATTCGGTATCGAGAGCAGCTAACCTATACGCATCGTCAGAAGGGGAAGGGATATCCTTTTCCCAGGGCTTGCGAGGCGCTGTGCGAGCTCCGACAGGTTTGACAGCCTTTGGGAAGTTAGCATTTCATCCGACGAGCCTCTTGAGCGCGACACTGCGGCCATACCGGATCTCTGATGATGGTGTTTGGGATCTGCCGAATACCGGGCACCTCCTTGCCCTCTTGCAACAGCTTGATCATCTCGGCAAAAGCCATTGGGTACGCGGGCTGGTCTCCGGCGGCGGCAGCAGCGGCGGCGCGATCGACGTAGAGATCAGCTTTGGGGGCAGCCTTTTGCCAGTCGAGTACCGGCGCTGCCGCCGCCGCGCCGTTAGTGCTACTGCTGGCAAGATACTCTGGCGGGAGGATATTGGGCGCGGTGTGATCCGGTTGGGCGGCAAGCCAGGCCTGATAGGCGGCAAAGTCTATGCTGACGCCGACGCGCTGGGAGTAGTAGAAGATGCGGGCGTGGACGGCCATGTCCGCGGGTGAGCCCTGCTGGTTCGGTGAGTTGGGATCACCGAGGATGGCGTGAAGGCCAGACTGGGCGCGGATGGGAGGTCAGTTTGTAACCGAGGAGCGCTTGACCTGGGGGGCTGGAAAGACGCTTTACCAAAAAGGCCTTGTCCTTGGTCCAAGGGTAAGAGTCAAATGCGTGGAACACGGCATCGTGGTTTGTGAGGGAGCGGATGCCCTGGGCGCCTGATAGCTGCTCCGCGGCCATGGCGCGTGATGTGTGAGAATTGAGGTGTGCTGTTGGCGATGGGGTGGAGGAGGGGGTCGCGGGGAAGCAATACAGGCCGAGTACTGGAAATGGAATTTTTGCCGCCGAGGAAATGGTATAAATTCGTCAATTCAAGTTCCAATGTGTTACAGTTGAAAACGGGCATGTGAAGACTAAGGATTCGGAGCTAGTTATGATGAGAGACGACGGGCTGGTGAAGTTACTGATGGCTTGAGGTGTGCGTCGAGCCTGCGGAGATGGCTGCCTTTTGGGTAGCAGTCAGGTAACTATATTACTCCGTTGATAATTCCGAACGGCGATTGTGTGATGATTTACTCATAATGCATTGCGGCCCACTGTAGGTTCGTTTCAGTGGCTTCCCGGGCTTGCAGGCGAGTATTAAGGTACTACAGGTAGGTAATTTGTACTAAGGTACACTGTACCTACCTGTATTTCCAACGTGTGGTAGAACCTCGGCTGGGCACAAGACCATCCGGATAATGTCATGTTGCGAAGCTGAGTGACACAAGGTAATGGACATCTTTATCAAGCGAGACCCAAACTTCACAACCTTTGAAACATGCCTTCTGTTTATTTTAAGAACTTCATCAAGGATCCCCTCTGTAGTAAACTGCCTTGCCAAGCGCTGGACCTCCTTGCTCACGTTCCCACTAACCACGGCGCCGGCACCCCTAACGTCGAACACGGGGTGACCGCACGCAACCCCCTGACAACCACATAGCCAAGGCCTACTTATCATTACCTAATTAGGCTAGACTAGTTAAGGTCACACCCTAATAGATAGATATTATCCTATACTAAATATAGGTCTAGGTAGATATAAATAGCTTATATTATATTAATAATTAGAATATTTATTCTTTT